AGGTTTATAAACTTTAAAAAAGATCTCAATTTCATTCAGTTTCATACAGAAAAACTCATTTTTAATGTAACTGAAACTACGATGCATATGTTTCTAATCTCTATATATCTGATTATTACTAGTCACAGTCACTTTCTGAGCTCCTTGGCATGTGAGCATGGATATAAAGTCGTCAGGTAGATTTCAATGGTAATGTTTTTCACATGTACTAATTATTAAGGAGCAAAATTTTATGCTTTGAAGAATTATTATATTTTATCATTTAAAATTTTTATTAACTACATGATTAGAAGAAGCATTTCACTACAGCTTTAACATATTCAGTGACACACTCCAGAGCAAGAGTACATCTCTTTCACAAATGGCTACAAGTTTCTAGGTTCACAGTTGAATTTTTTAAATGTGATTACTACGTAACGCAATCATTAATTTTTTAAATTTTTAATAACTACATGATTAGAAGACACATTTCACTACAGCTTTAACATATTCAGTGACACACTCCAGAGCAAGAGTACATCTCTTTCACAAATGGCTACAAGTTTCTAGGTTCACAGTTGAATTTTTTAAATGTGATTACTACGTAACGCTATAAGTATAGTATAAACTTATATGTGTGTGGGGGTATATGTACAAAAATCAATAAAGACATGTAAAATAATTTACTTCTGAAGTGGCTAAAAGTTGAGTGAAGACGCAAAAAAAAACAAAAAACAAAAAACAAAAAAAAACCCATACAGACACACAATATAAGTAGCAGCAATTAGGAAATTTTTATCTGTGTTAGATTCAAATTCCCACTGGTCCCAAAATTATTTTCTTAACAATAAGCTTTTCCTACAGTTACACATAGAAATCTCAGAGAAGATAAAAGCACAAGAAGCACACATAGAACTATCAAAACTGACACTTGCTGGACCAGAGCAAGACTCCAAGGCCAAAATACTCAATTATTACGCAGTTTATTTCTGATGTTAACAAAATTAGATAGAAACAAAATGAGAGCAAAGCCAGGTGTGGTGATGCACATCTTAATCCCAGCACTCGGGAGGCAGAGGTAGGTGGATCTCTGTGAGATGGAGGCCAGCCTGGGTTCCAGAGTGAGTTCCAGGGAGACCTGGTCTTGATGAAAAAAAAAAAAAAAAAGAACAATTCTTAAACATGGGAAACAGAATAAGAAACTTCTAAGTAATAAAAAAAATTCACTAAGTACTTGAAAATAAAATTTAGCACATATTGTAATATATTATGGCTAAGAAAGACCAGTCTATTTGGGTGTATAATCAAATCGATTTTTTCTCAGTTGATGTACCAATGCATGTCTCTCCATGTGAACATTTATCTACATTGAGCTACTTTCAGTGGTCACTCATTAATCCTCCTTATAGATCCATTGCAATTTATTTATAAAATAAACATATTTTATGCATTTCTAATACACTGCTATTTCAAGTGGTGCTAAGAAAGAGAAACTGTCTATTTCGTAAAAATGGTTTAGAGACATTCACATGTTTAAAATGTGGTAGACTACTATCAAATTGTCTATTTAAAAGCTGGATACGGTAGCACACACCTTTAATCTCTGCACTCAGGGAGCAGAGGCAGGCAGAGCTGTGAAAGCGAGGCCAGTCTGTTCTATATAGCAAGTTCCAGGTCAGCTGGGGCTAAGCAGACCCCATCTCAAACAAACAGCCTACTTGAAAAGTCCCAAGCAACATAAACTTTAAGCACTAGTATAAGTACCATTGTTCCTCATCCTCACAAACTTCGTACCTGAAAATCAAGTATTTGTCTTTTGGCTTACATTCCCTCTTACCAGGGTCACAAAATATTTTTTTCAAAGTCCACAGATCAAAGCTGGGAGTGGCAATGGATCTCTGTGAGTTCCAGGCCAGCTGGGGCTACAGGGAGACCCTGTCTCAAAAAGGCCAAAAAATAAAAATTACACAAAGCGTTCAGGTTTTTCCTTATTAATTGAAAATTCTCTGTAAAATGAAGATGGTTTCCATGTGATTTGCATATATATATATATTATATATATATACTGTAAATACTTTATAAGTATGTAGTCACTTTATCCTTTGTCCTATTTTGTTGAATCGATGTTGAGAAAACTTCCTTTTAGGCTTTTTAAAAGCTCAGTGTCATCTTGAGCATACTCTATGGCCTGTATTCCCCAACACACACACAATACTTTTACTGTCATTCTCAGGGAGGCACAAACAAGCATTTGTTTTTGTTTTGAGGTGTTTGGTGTTTTGTTTTTGGTACTTTTCTCATTGTTTTTTAAAAAATATTTTATTATTTTTATTTTATGAGTGTATTGCCTGCATATATGTATAAGTGCACCCATGCAAGGCCCACAGAGGTCAGAAGAGGGCGTTGGATCCCCTGGAACTGGATAATACAGATGGTTGTCAGCCACCATGTGGGTGCTGGGAATCAAATCCAGGTCCTCTGCAAGAGCAGCTAGCGCTCTCAAAGGCTGAGCCACCTCCTCAGGCCCTCAATATGTTTTTAAAAAATGTTTTAATCTATATTCTACCAACAATTTATTTTTGTGACATAAAAACGTAGCTAGTTTCTTACTACTAGGAAGGTTATCCCTTCAGTTCTACTCCTAGTGAGTACTGATTTTCTGTTGTTTCACTCATTGATGTGTCTTTTGGCTGCTAGTAAATGATTGGTTTGTGAAAATAGCATGCTTGGATACTTTAGGAAGGCATTTTTTTTTAGTGTCATAACAACATCAAAGGCAGCATGCGGAACTCAAAATTGTTAAAAGTCTCATCTTATTTGGAGTATATAAAATCGACGAACATTCAAAGAGTTCACATTTGGGGAATAATGACTCTCCCTATTCAACAACATCGAGCTATCTGCCCACTTCAAAATCTCCTTGTAAACTCTCCCGGCAAGAAACCATACATACAAATAGGAGTGCACGTATATAAAATGAATATTGGTTATTACTGGAAGAATTTTTAATACTGAGCTTATGTTACGGAAACATTTCCCTCATCTACATATTTTTACAGCGTAACGTTTTTTAAAAGGTGTGCACACAAATACAATGATGTATAATTAAGTTTGTTAGTTAAATCACTTGGCATGGTCACTAAAGAGGTCCGTAAAGGGAATCAGCTAAAGTGTTTTTGGTTTCTGTTGCTGTTTTTGCTGTCAAGGGAGGCCTGGGCGCCAGACCCCACCAAGGCTCAGGAACCCAAGCGCTGGGGCGGGAAGAAAGCCAGTTCTCCATGGTACACGGAGGGCTGGCGTGCCCCGCCTTGCAGCCCAGAACCGGGTCGGTCGGGTCGTGTCCCCACCCCCAACCCCGTTACCTGTCCTTCTTGTCTCTATCGTTCACGCCACTTTTCCCAAGCATCAGGATGTGCTGTACTCTGGCTACGTCCCCCTCGCTGGCGGCCTTGTGGATCTTGCCCATGTCCTTGTCAGGAACGCGGTACCGGGGCGAGCGGGAGCAGCCGGCGCCCTCCCGCCCCAGACCCACGCGGCGCCGCACCGCGGCCGGCCCGAGCGGGGACAGGCCCTTGGCCCTGCGGCCGAAGAGTTTCTTCATGGCCAGGCGGTGCGCCCCGTGTCTGCCGCTGCCTCCCCTACCCGCCACCAGTGCTCGCAAAGCCGGGGCAGCGCGGACGCCCCATTGCCCTGGGTTTGCTAACGCGCACTAATCCATAGCCCAAGCTGCTACACACAAACCAGCCGCTCAGCGCGGAGCCGCGCATGCGCAGAGAGGCTCCGTAGCCCACGGT